ACTTCTCTATTTATTGTGTCCATGGGTTATGCATATTCGCATATAAGTTCTTTGGTTAATCTCTGCCCACCCGCCCCTTCCCTCTGAGATCCGTCAGTCTGTCCCATGCGTCTGTGTCTCTGGATCTGTTTTGTTCTTCAGCTTATTTTGTTCCTTAGATTCCGCGGATGAGTGAGATCATGTGGTATTTGTCTTTCTTTAAGTGGCTTATTTTGCTAAGCATAATACTCTCCAGGTCCTCAAAAGGGTCAGAGATCCTTCCTTTTTTTACAGCTGCATAGTACTCCATGGTGTAAATGCACCACAGCTTTTTTAATCCACTCATCTGCTGATGGGCACTTGGGCTGTTTCCAGGTTTTAGCTTTTGTCAATAGCGCTGCCTTGAACATAGGGTGGCAAATATTCTGATTGGTGTTAAAGCAACCCCTGGGCAGCTAAGCTCATTTCATTCTCTTAACCACTCTTGGAGGAGTGTATTGTTACATTCCAAGGTGGAGCCCCAGGGGGCATGGAGGGTGGGGTGTGGAGGACTTGAGTCCCTTCACCTCCATCATAACCTCCTTTAATGCGCCCCCAACCCTTTACCATGAATAAAAACATTTCACCTAAGTTTGTTTGTTTTTTAAAATGTCTTTTACGCAAACATGAACTCAAAAAAAAGTGCCCCGGGCACCACCCTTCCTGCAACCTTCTTTTCTAATGACCTTTCACGCGGAGACATGAAGTCACTGACCCAGGATTCCATGCATTTTAACCCAAACTGGGAAAATCTCCAAAATCCTTGCTGTTTTCATGCAGGATTGAAGGGGAACAAGACCGGAAAATAATTTAGAGAACTGGAAGAAAGCCTTCCTGAGTGGGCCGCTCAGGAAATAAATGGTGCCACAGATACTCAGAAGGGCACCAGACTGACTGTGCTTGATGTACCAAAATAGGACCCCCGGTTATCAGCTAGTGGAACTTTCCTATTGGTGGACTAATTTAGCCCTTAAACATTCAGGGTTCCATTTTTATTAGGTGTGACCCACCCACCCACTTGTTTGTGTTTCCCAGTTCACTTTTTCCTTTGTTTAACTATGAGTAAGGCAAGGTTAAACAGCCACTTAGCATAAACCAAAGTGACTTCTGCACAGTCACTTTGGTTTCTACTAAAAACAAAAAAAGTGCAAGGGGACAGTGTTTTTGAAATTATTTTTAAAACCTCGTTACCATGACGTCTCATTGGGACTTTTTAAAAACTTTTTGTAGACATTCTTGGTGTGTTACTGATCCAGCTCTCCATATCTTGTTCCCATATAATGATAGGAACTGGCCAAGTTGCTCAGTGGGTTAGAGTGTCATCCTGAAACGCCAAGTTTGCAGGTTCAGTCCCCAGTCAGGGCACATATAAGAACCAACCAATGAATGTATAAATAAGTGGAACAACAAATCGATGTTTCTCTGACTTTTCCTCTCCCTTCCTAAGATTTAAATATATATATACTTGAACTCAATAGCCCTATTGACTAAGACACTACAGACTTTGCACAGTAAATGAACAAAAGAATCTTTTTTATATCAAAAGCGGTTACTCAATGGAAGGCCTCTCAACCGTTTAAAGGTATGATTCACCAGGTTCCACTATGTAGCAAAGTGTATAAAGCACGAAGGAAGTCCGATATGGTGCCTTAGAGGGTGAATTTCTAGGGAAATTTCAAGCGGAGCTTTTGACAGCCGCATTGGTGCCTGAGGATACTGAAGGTTAAAAAAAAAGAAAGAAACTCATTACCATTAAGTTCTTTCTGAGGCTACTTCCACTTAACAGCCTTGGAACATAATTCACGTGTCGTAAAATTAACCCATTCAAAGCGTACAGTTTGGTGGTTTTTAGTCTCTTCACAGAGCTGTGAAACCATCACCACAACCTAATTTTAGAACATTTTCATTACTCCAAAAAGAAACCCTGTGGCATTAGCAGGCACTCACCATCCGCCCTTCCCCAGCTCTAGACAGCGACCAATCTGCTTTCTGTCTCTACAGAATAGATTTGCTGGTGTTCAGTGTTGATGTAATACAATTTATCTTCCTTTATTGACGGTGCTTTTGAAGAAATTACCAAATCTAATGAGTTAGTTTTTGTGTCTGGTGTCAGGTGTGGATCCGACCTCATAACTTCTGTACGTGGGTCTCCCATCTCCCCAAGGCCGTTTGGGGACAAGACTG